TATACACAGCATTTTTGATTTGATATTTATAGTATTTGTCTCGGCTATTAATTGTCTATAACGTAAGAAAGATTAACTCTACCATTACTTATATGTAGGCAGAGCAAGCAATTCAAATGGCCATTGAAGTGAAAGGAAAACATCTCATTTACGCATCAGTCGTCTGGAACATTTCGGGCCAGTCATAGACCGAAACTAGCAGTCATGTACTATGTCACGTTTCCATAGTAATATTGATTTGCAAAATAGCCCTTCTGTGGGCCTCAAGCTATTCAGGACAGGTTTACCAATTCTTGCTTTCTGACGCTGCTGTGTTATCCACATACCAGACATTTGACAATCTGCCATGACACTATCCAGTAACTCTCAGAAGATTGTTGAAAGCAGTAGGAAAATTTAAACAGCTGTATAATTTTACTCCTGTCAGTAATAGCTATGAACTAGCTTGTTCATGGCAAGAAATCAGTTTTAGTGCAGCTTTTGGCACTCCCATTCTCTCTCTTCTATTTATGAAGTGAAATATAATTTTTTCTTTAAGAGTTTGACATTTCATGATCAAAGTCTCTTTTTCATAATTTCCTCTTAATGCACCAGCTCTGTTTAGGTCATGAAATGTCATCTAGATTCTTGAAGAAAAAATATTTAACTTAATAAACTCTGCTTATTCACTGTTCGAGTGCATGGAAGAATGGAGACAGAAAAGCATAGTTTCACAAGAACCTTCTTCTGTTTGGAAATATAAAAAGTGGACACTGCCTTGATGAGGGATCCAGATAACAGATACAGATGGCTTCCAGCCCACCCACACCCATGACCTCCTCTGAGCCTCCCAAGAAAGTCTTGCTGCCACCGGCTTTAATTAAGCAATCCATCTCAGGTGAGAGCGGGAAGTGCTGATCACGGCACGGACTGTCTGCGTGACCTGCTTTTATGAATAAAGTAAGCCTGCCATTTTGCTGTGCATTGATTCCCCCCCCAGCAATAAATAATAATAATATTATGATAATAAATAATAATGATGATGGTTGTTATTGATAATAATTAGAAGAATAATTTAAAAAAAAAACATGTACAGATCAGAAAAAAACTATGTACAGATTAAAAAGTTAAATTTGTTTAAAAACCTAATAATAATTATTATGAATAATTAGACAGCAGTGTACTTAAGGCATACCGTACAGTTAACAGTAATTCCTTTTTTTTTTTTTTTTAAATGAAGTTCTAAACATAAGTTAGGGAGGAGTGAGCCAATCTAATCTTTCAATCAACAGCCTGAGTATATACAGTAAGCAGCTCTCCCAAGCATCAGCTGTTCCAGTATGCGGTATTGCCGCACGGAATAATGTCCCAACAATGTGAATGAATGAAACACCCACAGTCACACCCCAATTAAGATCGGATATTACAAATCCAAGTATGGATAATCTTCATGAGCGTTCTGGCCAGAAAATCCAGCACTCATACAAAGCAAGTCGTGAGCTTAGAATTATAAGGTTCTATCTCCACTTTTGGTCGAAATTGAGTTTTTGACATAATCTGATCCATTAGGTGTTTATTAATGCCAGTGTGGTGTTATTTTTGTAAAAAAAGATTAATAGATAAAGATATCATAGAAGATTATACTACATACAGTAACAGTTTTGCCAGCTGGGATGTAAAAACTTTGATGCTCAATATCTCAGAACTACCCTAAACGGAGATAGAACCTTATAATTCTAAGCTCACGAAGTTCCAAAGAGCAATGCTCTCCTCCACCTTCAAGGTCACATCCATCTTCTTCTCAGACTTCATCTCTCTATTCTGCCACCGCTATTATACCGATTCCACCCATTTCAAAATTTTCAGTCAACAGCCTACCTCAAGTCCTCTCCAACTCCGGAATCCATTTCTCCTGCAGATCATCAAAAGCTTAACTCTACTTTTCATCAGTTCTAACATTTCCAGCATTTCATCAAACACTTCAACATCTAACAAAAGCAAGACTCACCCCTCTTCTACCTCCGTTTCTTTTCCGGTCCCGCGTTCTGCACCGCCACGGCTCACACTTCCTTGTCCGCCGGGATTTCCACCTGGCCAAAAAAACAGTTCCGCTTCTTCTCCAGCCCATGTCAGCCATCTTGGACACCACTCAGTAATGGGACCCTCTCAACATTCATCAACTTTTCTCAACACTAACACTTGCTCTTCAAGTGTTATCTGCTTGCCAGCCCCCGTTCCCGAATTCTATCAGGTGCAGATATTGATCTTCCTTCTCTATTGACTTCCGTCCCTCTCGATGAATCCCAGCAATCTTTTGACTGCGGCCCATTAACCATCAATCTAAAAAAATCCATAGAACCTTCAAAACGGGTTCTCACACTTGCAGAATTCTGCATTGCTTTTGCCAAATAAACAGAAGTAATTTGCACTTCATTTCCATCCAGACAGAAGAAATTACATAATTACCTCTCTATCATAGTCTCTCGTTCGGAGGTATCATTTTTATTAGGGGTGTAACGGTACACAAAAATCACGGTTCGGTACGTACCTCGGTTTTAAAGTCACGGTTCGGTACGTTTTCGATACAGCAAAAAGAAAGAAATGCCAGAGAAATTTCCTATTTGTTTAAAGAAAAAATAGTTTTAAATAAGTGTGAGTTTTCCTAGATCTTGAAACTTTCAGGTTTATAAATAGGGGTCATCTTTGAAGGATGAACAAATAATGTTTTGGTCATCACATTAAAAATAACATTTAAATATATATTTATTTATATAATATTTGAATTTTGAAATGCTGGAAAAAGATGTGTGAAGTACTTGAAAGCATTTCACCATTCCAGCCAAACTGGTTACAGTTAGTGTTACTATCCCAGACAGCAAACTGACTTTGAATCAACGTGGAAACGACGTCTCTCATAACATTGAAACAACGTTGATTTTGCTCATCGAATTAATGTTGAACCAACGTCAGACGCGGCATTCTTCAAAGCTAAATGAAAATCGAAAATTGGTTTGCTTTCATAACGTTGAAACAACGCGTTAGTTTTTTTTAATTTTCCGTTTTTGAAAGAATGACGCGTCTGACGTTGGTTCAACGTTAATTCGATGAGCAAAACAATGTCAGATCAACGTTGTTTCTATGTCATATTTCCACGTTGATTCAATGTCAGTTTGCTATCTGGGATATTAAATCCATGGTGAATGTTGCTGGTCTGTGGACGTAAAGTACTAGTTCATTCACGGCACAATGTTTCTCCTGGTTTCCATGACAGCGCTGTTTGATCTAATAGAGATCTACGGTTAATAACGGAGAAATGTGAATGCATCTCACTAGATCTCGCAGCGATGTTATTACCTCAGTGGCGAATCCAAATGTTTTCTTTACCGGATCTCTTAGCACGGTGTGGTAACAGTGTCGCTTGATCGAGATCGGCTCGCGCTGCACTGTTGCTGGTCCGAACTGATAAACGATCCGTGAAGCACATAACGAGGAGCGCAGTTTCGTTCTGCTTTTATTACCCTTGCCATTTGGATGTAGCGCAACGTTGTGTTGGCCGCGGCATCAGCACGAATTTTGCCGGCAGGAAAAATGGTCCAAGCAATCGTTCGGTTTGTATGCGTACCGAACCGGAAGCCTCGAACCGAAACGGTTCAATACGAATACATGTACCGTTACACCCCTAATTTTTATACATACCATAAGCTTTTTTCAGCAAAATGCACTGTCCGCGTCACTCACTGGAACCTGTGTCCTTACTGGGGAGCCTTGGACCTCAAACTATATAATAGAGTCTTCTTAGGCATTCGAAGCCTTTCCTGCACCATCTGCAGGTCTATCATTCATTCTACTTCAGAATGTCCCCAAACCAGTTCAGATCTTCCAACACATCCAGTTCCTTTACAAGAAAAATCCATTTCACTCAATCAAAAAATGACCATTACCAGATTTTTATCTCTGTTTCAGGCAGACAAGTGTGCAACAGCTTTAATTTATCAGTCTGCAAAAGACAACAATGCCGCTTCCTCCATGTCCAACCTGATCTCACGAACAAATCGTACGAATTCGATGAATGATTAAAAAGTGGCTAATTCATACGACCTAACTCACTCTACATATTTTACGAATTGGCCAATCCGTATGAACCCGCCCCTAAACCTACCCATCACGTGGGTTTAGACAAATCGTACGAATTAGTACGAGTGAGGTTGTACGAATTAGTACGGTTTAGACACTTTTTAATCATTCGTCGAATTCGTACGAATTGGTCGTGAGATAGCGTAGCCATGTCTGTAATTTATGTGGTGGATCTCACACAGCCATACAAGGCGCCATTCAGCTTGTCAGGTTTGGAGACTTGCTCATGGACACCTCGACACTTGGTCAGGTGGAACCGAGGATTGAACCATCAACCTCCTGGTTTGTAGACAACCTACATGAACCACTGAGCCACTGCCATCCCCAGACATTCAGACATTCTTGGAAAAAATAAAAAATAAAAAATCACATAATGAATTAATTGTGGAATAATAAAATGATTTATGTCTAACCTTAAAAAAATGAGTGTGGAGGAGGGTGGTGAATGATATTCAGGATCACTAAAGACATGAGGTATGTGTTTAAGGGTTAACAGAAGGGAATGTCATTTTTGGATTTTTTCAATGCTCAAAATCTAATAACCATTTCCATGGGTCAAGGAGAAACACTTTATATTGTTTGGCCTGTTGGGTTTTACAAGATGAATGTGTTGCCAACTTAACATCTTCATTTAGTTTACGAGAAAAAAATCCATAAAATGTTGGAAAAATGGATATGCATCTGGAAGACATTTGCACATATTGTGAAATCGTTCTGAAATATACCACCATAATATCTGGTTTATCTACACTTTCTGTGTCATGAGCTGAAGATTTGCTATAAAGGCAGCATCACGCTTGAGTCACAATGTTTATCTTCATATCAGCTTCATAACAGTTTTGTGTGCAAGTGTTTTACTCACACGAAAGACAGCCCGAGTATGACAAATGGAAAGTGAGAACAGATCCAGGCTTCCAGTGACGACAGCCTCATTATGCGTTTATAAGAGCGCCTGTCTGATCTCCTCACTGTCTTGTTGGAGGAGATTCAGCCAGACAACACATCGGAAGTTAACGGATAGTGGCTCTGGATCTGTAATCTGGAGCTGTCACTTAACATGAAAGGTAGGTGAGATTCAAGTCAATGCGACTTTAATAATAATGGTTATATTCAAGCAAACTTCATCACTGATCACAATAACAGGTTATGCTAACGTTGGAAAGAGACTTTGTTATTGAATAATTACATTTATTTATCTGATATATGGATATGAAACATTATAAGTCAGAGTACAAACTTGAGATCAACTATTTTAACTCATTTTGCTAAAATTCTGAAAATATGTTAGAATTTAACAACGCCTGCTGATGAAATGTACTTGGAATTTCCAGGTTTGGCTCAGTTAGATGAATCAGTTCCAATAAATGACTCCCCTTCATTCCGAGAATTGGGTTCGTTTTTTTTTTGTGTTTTTTTAATTATTATTATTTGCCAAACAGGAAGGGAACTTTAAACTTCACCAATTCTGGAATAACCAGCAGGTTTTTGTGATTATCCTCAACTTAAATTTACACTGTAGATTATTGTCATCCATGTTCATACCATCTCATACCATTAGTTTAATGTTACTTGCCATTTCTTCGTAATAACTATTATTTCAAATGTCTGAGTGAAAATGGTTTCGAAGTCAAACTTAAAAGTAAAAAAGGCAACATCTTTTTCACAGTGTCCCAATGGAACTAAACTCATCGAACCTCCTCTGCAACGACACAGTTGCCTGGATATGGCTGTCTTCTCTCCAGCCTCCCTTTTTGGCTCTTATCAGTATCCTGGGAGTGGTGGGCAACAGTCTGGTCCTCTGCGTGTTCTGCCTCCAGCGGAAGTCGTGCAGCGTAGCTGATGTGTATCTGGGCAACCTGGCAGCTGCAGACCTCGTAATGGTCCTCTGTTTGCCCTTCTGGGCAGTCACCATCGCCCAAGAATATCACTGGGACTTTGGTCAACTGCTCTGCAAGGTGGTCAACACCGCCATCTCGATGAACTACTACTGCAGCGTGCTCTTCCTAGTGCTGGTCAGCGTTGACCGCTACCTCGCCTTGGTCAAACCCATGAATCCTAGCAGGCTGAGATGCCCCAAATGGGCCAAGCGTATCTGTGCGATGATTTGGGCGGTTGGATTCACCCTCAGCCTCCCAGCCTTGCTTTTCCGAAGAGTAAATTTCGTTCCATTCTTAGGGGTGGAAGCTTGCTACCTAGCGTACCCTCATCCGGCCTGGGTGCTCCAACGGAACTTTACGACCAACTTGATTGGATTCCTGGTTCCCCTGCCGATCATTTCGCTTTGCACCTTTCACATAGTCAAGGCACTTAAAAATCGCGGCCTGGTGATTCAACCGAGGGTGCGGACGGAGAGGAAGGCCGCTCAGCTGGTTCTGATAGTCCTAGTGGTATTTTTCCTGTGCTGGACTCCCTTTCAACTGGTGCGGTTCCTAAACACTCTCGACTACTTTCAGCTCCTTCCTGGGTGCCTCTGGGAGGACATATTGCAAATAGGCAACCAGCTGGCTTCTTATATAGGGTATAGCAATAGCTCAATAAACCCTTTCTTGTACGTTATCGTAGGGAGTCACTTCCGAAAGAGAGCTCGAGGAGTTTTTGGGAGACTTTTGCATCCTGGATGGAAGAGCAAGTCATCCGTGCTCACAAACATTACTGTTATCAGCAAGTGCGGTGACAGTCCCAAAGACAACAGAATAACACCGCTGGCACTGAGAGCTGTGCCCTCACACCTCATATAGTGTGTAGGTCACTAAAGATACAAAGAAGCTCAAATGGAGGAGTGGGAAAGAAACATCAATGTCAAGGTTCGATTCCCAGGAGAAAAATATATACCTCTGATTTGTTTGATTGTGCAATCTCATTTACCTTTCCTCACATCCATTTTTTCCGACTTAGTTGAGGTGTGGAGAGAATGACATGTGAGGATGGTGGAATATTCAAGTGTCACGTCAACTATGATTTTGCACTGAAATACCTTGAAAAATATGACGTGTTTGGTTTTAATATTATTAGTATCTGAAAGAGTGTATTTTATTGTTAATCATGTATTGTTCCTTACAGTAACATTTTATGTTCACTAAATGGAATGTAATAACCACAAACCTTTATTTATTGTTTTTTTTTAAAGAAAACCAAGCAGTATATGCAAAGCCAAAGCTGCATTTGAATATATAATGTATAAATTCAATGTATATTCATAATATCACTGTATTTGTGTTATATTAATAAAAAAGATTAAAATACGGAATTTTAATACGGTAATAAAACATTGTACTGCTTTAATACTTTGCTGTTATGTTGATGTAGTTGGTTAAAAAAGATATTTTGAATAAAGGGTGATGTACTGCTGATATGTGATTTATGGTTGATTAAAAAACTCAAATTAGAACTTTTATGTTCAGTAATCCAGAAGTGTAAAAAACAAATATTGGACACTTAAAAACAAAAGACTCCAGGGAAGGATACACCTATGTTTCCAAGTTCTCCAGGTCTCCCCTGGAAGCTTCCTCGCATTATAGTGGGTTTAGTACATTGATATATGCTTCATGATGGTGCTCGATCGATATCTGGCTCATGGAGGACAGAGCAGTGAGTAACCAGGGACTATTTAGAAGCACATCACTTTGGTAAAAGTGCCTGTCATATACCTTTTTCAGACATTTCTCTGATAAGAACATTAATTTCTTTTTCTGGATGTTGTACTTTGTGGTTAAAAAGCGAATTGTATGTAGTACAGATACAGTATGAGCAGCATATATGTGTATGTGTCAGTATGGGTTATGTCTATTGGTAAACATGTTCCCTATAAGACAGACTTCTCTGTGTTAAGATCTAATAATCTTTTTCTTAACTTCTCTGTGTGAAGATCTAATTCCTTTTTTTCTTAAAATAAATAAATAAACTATAATACTATTTCCCATTTTTGGTACTGTGGCTCAGTTTTAAATAAATATAAAATCTGGATCCTGAAACATAAACAGTTGAGAATCACTGGTGGTCTTTACAGACGTGAGTCAATTGTTTTTAGTGAATCACATGAACTGAAGCGCAAGGTTTCCTATCTCCTCATTTGTCTGACTAAGCTGACTCAACATGTAAATATGTCATTATCTAGCCACATTAGGCAGTTATTATGAATGCTACAGTTATTCGCTTCTGACAAAGTAGTATACTTTACTTTAGCATACTTTTAAATAAAGAATACTCACAGAAAAAATATGAGATACATTTTAAAAGAATATACTTAGGCGCAAATTAAATATGTTTTCAGACCTTGATTATGATTTATTTATAAATATAAGTATTTATTATAATAAACTTGTTATTATCAATTAAAGGAAAATGTATTATAGTTTACATTTTTATAGAATGAAAATGAACTTTTTTTTTACTTAAGTAGGACTTAAGTACTGTGTAATGTCTTACTTATACTGCCGGGTGTACTGACAAAGCATTTATGGTAAAGTAAAATATAATTTAATGTTGACAGAGCATTTATGGTAAACTAAAATATAATTTAATGTCATTTCTATTGAAACTTGTAATTACACATCTGTAATGATGATTCACTGCAATATTAAATAACAGTTAAAATTAAAATCAAATGCTTTACATTTGATTTTGTATATGAATTAGCCAACTCAAAATAAGTGTACTTTAAAGCATGGCCAAAAAATATATATATAATAATTTGACATTATTACAAAGTGCTTTGTGTACCTACTTAAGTGTGTTAAGAAACAGTCATGGAAGTGAACTCTCTTTAAATACACTTAAATGGCTTTTTATTTAATGTATACTGGGCTATTATATATATTACCTGCAAGGACAGTTTTTTTATTTTTATTTATTTTTTAAAGATACTTTTAACAAGATTTGGTATATATATATATATATATATATATATATACCCAGACAGCAAACTGACATTGAATCAACGTGGAAACGACGTCTCTCATGACATTGAAACAACGTTGATTTGCTCATCGAATTAACGTTGAACCAACGTCAGACGCGACATTCTTCAAAGCTAAATGAAATCGAAAATTGGTTTGCTTTCATAACGTTGAAACAACGCGTTGATTTCAAGTTGATTTTCCGTTAGTTTTGAAAGAATGACGCGTCTAACGTTGGTTCAACGTTAATTCGATGAGCAAAACAATGTCAGATCAACGTTGTTTCAATGTCATATTTCCACGTTGATTCAATGTCAGTTTGCTATCTGGGTATATTTCAAGTGCACATTCAATACAATTAGGCAAACATCATTTTTCTCAAGAGCAGCTCTGAGATCAGTCTTGTGTGACTGTCACAGCCACTGGGGAGTCTATAGCCTTTTCCAGTTGAGTTTGTGCTGTGAGTTGTGTACATTGATTACAGTAGCCAATGTGATGAAAGCTATCTAGCCTCCAGTACGGAAAGGTCACTGAGTAATTATAGAGGTCCTTTCTCCTCTGAATTCTAAGCTGAAAGGGCAACACTGTCCTTCTGCTTTAACCAGAGAGAGTGCAGTGCTTTATTCAGTAAAACAATAGTGCCCACCTATTTATTAACAAGCTATTCAAGAATACAACCACTGTTAAAGTATTGGTATGCTTATACTCATACAAGTTGTGTTAAGTTGTTACTTTTAAAAGTTTTAGAGATGTATGTTTTGATGAGAAATAAACGTTTGGCTAGAAGCTTAGCTAATGCTATATCCATCTGTAGCCTACTATATCAACTGGCCAAAAGGTCAGCAAACAAACCTGCAGATAGACTTTCTTTCTTCTGTATAAAATGAATATGACACACATGAAGATGATTAATCCATCTAAACTGTGTTACACAAATTAGCCATCTCAGACTTCCTCATTAGCCGTTAGCATGTTAGACCTGCTGCTTTTTCCCCATGTCTGAAATCGCTTAGGACACTGAAGATACTTGATCAGTTGGCTATATAATGTATTTTCAACTGTGTTACTATTTGGAGGGGTAAATGACATCAGTAATCAAGTTGAAACCTCATTCTGTTGTTGTCATTTACTGGATGCTAATTACATTGCATTAATAGGTTACATTTAAAAGACAAACTGAGAAATAAACGTTTGGCTAGAAGCTAATGCTAATATCCATCTGTATATATCAACTGGCCAAAAGGTCAGCAAACAAGATAGACTTTCTTTCTTCTGTATGAAATGAATGCATAGGCTATGACACACATGCAGATGACTAATCCATCTAAACTCTGTTATACAAATTAGGCATCTCAGACTTCCTCATTAGCCGTTAGCATTTTAGACCTGCTGATTTTTCCTATGTCTGAAATCCCTTAGGACACTGAAGATACTTGATCAGTTGGCTATATAATATATTTTCAACTGTGTTACACCATATTTGGAGGGGTAAATAACATCTGGGTGCTTCAGTAATCAAGTTGAAACCTCATTCTGTTGTTTGTCATTTACTGGATGCTAATTACATTGCATTAATGGGTTACATTTAAAAGACGAACTTCCCACAGATGCATACTCTAGAGTCTAGAATACTGCTATGAGTATGATATCATATTCACATTGTCTGTTGATTTAAATGGTTTAACACTGGAAAAGAGGTGTGTGATGTTGACCACTAGAGGTCAGTGCAAGACAACACATTCTGTGAGACTTCTTCTTCTAGCAATAGATAAACTTTTGATCCTTTAATGTTCATAAACATCCGTTTAAATGCCATCATATTGTCTCTTGAAAATGTTTTAGTTGTGTTAATGTTTATAGTGTGGCTTATACATCTAAAACCACACACACACACACACACACACACACACACACACATGGAATTAAAATTAAATGCAGATGAATAAGTACTTAAGCAAATCAATAACTTTGCCCTCAAATTGTTATTATGATAATGAAATTTCTAATGAAATCTGTGCATTTGGAAAATAGCCATTTCAGACTTTTGAACTCGACTGTATAATTCAAAAGGACATACAAAACATTACAAAATCTTATATGAGATCTGGAATACAAAAGAAAATATCACCCCAAACAATAACAAATATCACACTATTCTCAGCTTTTACTTATTGGATTACCCAAGAACAAGAGTCTGATTACATCATAAAGCTAAATACATTAAATAGTTTTCAAGACCTCTAATGGGCAAGTTACCGTTGTATCTGTAAACAGGTAAGACAATCTGACTTCAAAACATCTGTAATGGCAGCTGCAAGAAACCAAATACTTGATATGATCAATGATATCCTGGTAAGGGAGGACAGAGCTCAAGCAGAAGGATTATTACTTGAATTTACGCAACAGCATATTTATCATCCAGTCACTGGTTAAAATGAGTCATTCATTAATGTGTGTCCACTGTATTTGTTAAAGGAAATACACCGCATAGAAATGCATCATGGACAATCAATTGTAACCCAATTTGGAAGTAAGTAAAAGAACCGCAGTTGGCCCAGAGAATCTATCGTCATGAATCAGCCAAACGGTGTGAGATAATCTGTCCGACTCCAGTAGAGACACTGACGTCATCCCATTTTCCTAGCACTCATTCCCTTCTCCCTGTATATTCGTAATCAAACAGCCTGAGATATTGACACCTACGGTATAGTGCTCATAAGGATTCATAATTTTAACAATACTGCATTTATCAGTTATTGTGGCAATACGAAACACAAGAAATAACAATTAGATAATCAAATACAGTTATTACAAAAGTAAGGTAACTACAGTACATGGGTTAAGTTAAGGTTTAGGGTTAGTACCTGGTTAGTGTCATTACTTAAATAAGTACATAGTATGTTCATGTGAAACAAGACTGTAAAATACAGTAAGTGCTATTGTATTGGGTATTGCATTTTATAATTAGGCCTATTACAATTTTAACTACTAGAAATTAACATTTTACATTTATGCAAGTTTAATAGAAAAGATTAGGAAGAAAATAGATTAAATCAGACATTTTGTTTTGCAAATGCAGTCAATTTTGAATTTTGAAGAAAATGTCTGTTTACCAAAAGTATCACACTGCAAAACCTCACATCTGTATCTGTAGTTTTTTTTTTTTAATAGGGACAATGCAGACAAACATATAACAATACAAATCCTGCAACTGATGTGCAGCATATAGAGTTTATATAGTGTAAATTGTCTCCTGTCCCTGGTTTGGCTTGTCTATGTGTATTATAAAAAAAAAAAGATATACAAATATAAATCATTCACATTTCTTCAAACACTCACTCACTCACACAAAAAGGAAAATAACAATATTTAAAAATGGCTACCGTTTTGGTTTGTCTTTAGCCATAACC